TCAGACTGAGCCGCTGTGTGTTTCCAGTGTCAGACGGTTTTGTGTTGTGCTGCTGGACTTGACTGTTCTGTTGTAGCGAGGCAGCGGTGCCTGCATGCATGCACTAGCAGAGGAGAGGTTTCTGAGGTTTCTCTGTGTCTGACTGGCTGCTCCACTGCTTTGGCACAGCAGATACAGTTTACATCATTATGTTCTTCTTACTGCAGAGTGAAAATCTACTTTAAATAGAGAGCAGATTATACATTCAGTCTGGTAAAGGCCTGTGTTTCTGACAACTGGCTGCCCTGTGTTGAGCAAAGGAAAAAAGAGCAAAGATCTGAGTGTTTGTTTAAAATGTTATATTTAATTAACACCATTTTGTCCCACACTAACATTCAGTCAGAAGGAAACTGTGGCCACTGGTTTCTTTAGTATATTAACAGTTTTATGATTTTGAGTCTTTTAAGGAAGGTTGTTCATGCTCACAGTCCAAGATCATAGCCATGATGAATGGGGATCCTGTTTTAGAAAGGATTTGCCCTTGATAAGAAACACGTCCCTCTGTGTTTCCCTGAGCAAGTCTTCAGGGAGCGCTTTCCAATAAGAGTAATGTTTCCCCTGTGCATGGCCACCATTCAACAATTTATGAGCAGATTACAGATTCTAATAAAATTTTTGCAGCCTTAATTAAAGAATCTGCTCAGCGCTTTATGATAGTTCAGTTCCTCCACCACTTCTGTCCAATTTAATTATTCTGATGTAGATAATTAGCATGAGCTGGCCATTGTTTGGCCTCATTTGCATATTATATTGGATAATTGAATGAGAGTGGTTGATGATTAAATTAGGGTGAATGACAGATGATTCAGTTTGCAGTGTGGAAAAGTTAACAGAATGAGCAGACTGGGAATACGACATGAACCTCCTGAATATTTATATGTTCCAGCGTGGTCGGCCCCCAGCAGACGCACTCTGCTAATTTAAAAAATGTGCAGCAGTGCTGAACTCGGCTGCTCGCGAGTCACAGGACGCTGTTTCTTCACATTTGGCTGCTCCTGTGCGTAAAGAGGAATGAGGGCAATGTTGAGCATAGGAGAAATACTTTTTTTGAATGTTTTCAATGTGTTGCTCTGTCAGCGAGGCAACGCATTCACAGATTGATAAGACAAATGAGACTAGTGTGGGGAAATTCATTTCCAGGCACTTGCAGTGTAAACACAGACTCCTGGTGCCTGCCTGCCTGCCACGTTATGGACAGGATCCACTTTGATGTCGAAGGTTGTCTTGGCAAAAGGCTGCGGGGCGCAGTTTAAATACATTAGAAAATGACAAATCTGGAAACAAAATACAGACATGTAAACTTGATGCTAAGATTAAATGTGTACCCTAAAAATATTTTTTTCTCAAATGCACTCCAATTCAAAAGTGATCAACCATTAACATCTGCTTTTCAGCCTCTTAGGCCGAGAACAGGAGAATTCCTGATCTTACCTCACTGGTTAAACATGTCTTTCTTCATCTTGTTAATTGGTGTATCATGACAAAATGCTACCAACAGTTCAAATCCTCTCGTTACAGCCTAGATATATCCCGCTCCCTGGAATTTTTCCATGCAGGGTTCGAGCAGGATAAATGTTTAAAGGGAATATTTGGAACAGCTTTAGCCTTTCACATGCTAATGTAAGCACTGGTCGCACAAGAAAGCTGGCCTGACCCGCAGGGGCCACCCTGTGACACAGTCTGCTGATTCAGTGCTGGCAGCCCTGAATTTGTTTATGTGTGTGCACGAGAAATAATGCACGTCATAAAAAGGAGAACTTTGAAGGGGAACCACTATCCCTGCATGATAAATGCCCCCTGCTCTTCAGATATAAATAACTCTTCCCAAGAAGTACAAAAGCCATCTCAGGAGTGAGTTATGCACCGTCATCTCTACAATAACACTGGGCCGTGTTTCCAGCCCTGGAGTTCTTCATATGTTAGATTACCCTCTGGGAATTTTGTCATGCACTGATTTGGACACAAACTTTATCACTGCTTAATTGGGATGCTTAAAGTAAAATGTGTCACTAGTTACTGAGTGTGTTAGGTATAAAGCTGCTGGAAAATACATCAAATAAATGATACATCTTTTTTCTGAGTCCTAGAACCAGCTCTTACAGGCTGGGTATAAAGAGCTCTCCACTGATTCACTCCTAGGAATGTCCATTTTCAAACACAATTTGCAGCACATGAAACTTGTGTTTGTCTTTGTCTCCCAATACCTTATAAAATCTCCTCTGTTCCCTGTGTTATAGCACACACCAGTACGCAAAGTGTCGTCTCATTGTCTGCCAGGAGCCATTTCAGGCGGCAGAGGAATTTACACAGTCTTAGGATCTGTCAGTAGGTGGTATAGGAAACTGTAAAGATAAGTCCCCAGCAGCTTCCTTTCCACGAGAGCTTTCGGCATCTCTCAGATCTCCCAGATACGGCCGTGCCCTCGCTCTTATCAGGAACCTGACCATGCCCACTTCCAGCTTGTGCTAGGAGAGACAGACGGAGACTAGGTGTGTGTGTGTGTTTGGGGAAAGTCTTGCAGGGCTCGTATTTGTCACAGTGTCTGTTGCTTGACACATCTCAGATCTCAGATCTCAGTGTAAAGGATCTTCAAGGTGTCTTGAACATTTTGTTCAACTGTGTGTCGCTTCCTTCCCCTGAATGGATGTGAAGCTACATTTCATCACTGTCCAGTCAAAACCACATGTCTCTAAATTTGGTTGTTTAAAGTTTTTCAAATGGTTCTTTTGGAGTTGAGAGCATCATCCTTCTTCTTAAGCTGATTAAAATGTAAAAATTGACTGGACTCTCTGTGAAATGCAGCTGAAAACCTGGAGATTTTTCTTAATAGCTAAAATAAGATGTTCTGAAGATACATACACACAGGACTGTGATGGTGTCAACAATAAATAGTCACCTTTTGTTGTAAATAATATTACCAATTTGGAACAAATTCCACATGGTTCCATTCATGTTGTTATGTCGCTGTCACTGCCGCCCCTGGTTGTGTGTCTTTGTGTTAATGGGCCACTGAGTTGAGACTGCACCACTTTCCTCAGAAAACCTTGAAATACCATGAAATGGAGGCAACTAAAATTATTGAAAGGGGATGATTTAGCTTCATTATGGAAATTAATAACTTCAGAAACAAAGCCCTATATTTCTGAATAAGATCTGGTAAATGATGCTGTAATAAATATTTATAGTTGTTGAATATTCTTTACTGATCACTTGCAGGTGCTAGACCTTGGGTACCAAGACTCACCCAGACTGGGTCAAATTTGACCCAGTATTTTAGTGTCTGTAAGGCCATGCTGTAAGCACGGCTACTGGGTTTACTGCAGGGGTTTATTCAATGCCAGTAAACCTGTGTAAATCCAGTGAAGAAACCGAACATGTCCGTTTGTCTCATCGAGTGCCTCTGCTGCCCCCGACATCTCGTTCACAGAAGTTGCCCAGAGCAGATTAATGCAGACACAGACTGAGAGCAGTCAACACATTATAATTCGGTTGCTACAGAGAGAATGCCACCGCTCCAACCCTGTGGCCGTGCCCAGATGTCTGCTTTTGCTTTTATGCCTTTCCCCGCAGAGAGTGCTTGATGAGGGACAATTTGTTTGGATGTTTAGTGCTGCGGCACTGGCTGGTGGAGGATTATATGAGACGGCCTAGTGATTTGCGGTGGCTGGTAGTGGGCTGGAGTCAGTGCATGTGAGGGAGAGTGTTTGCATACACACAGTGTGCGTGTGTTTCAGTCCATGCGTTCTCAGTTCCAGGTCCTCGCTCTAACGCAGACATCAGTTGTCTCGCACCCTGGTTCATGTGAACTCACATTCATGACAAAAGCACCTCAGCTCCTATAAGGAGACGTTTATTACTTATTGGTGCCTTTTATCCATACTAGAAATATTAATAATTCATTGTTTCAAGATGCCTGAAATGCTTCTCTTGCTGAGTTCTCTTTATATGTTTTGGCAGCCAGGAGAATCATTGACTTCTCCTGTGAAGCTGCACATACTAAAAACTCAGCCAAACGCTACTGTGAGCTTTCCCAGATCTCACACCCTGACAGATTTTACTGCCTGAGAAAAAAAAAGCCAAGAAAATGATTTCATCTTTTGTGGTTAATGTAGCTTTCTGTTTCTGTTCATTCACCACCTGTGCAAAATTTAAACAGGTTCCTCTCTAACGTAAAATGCTTGGCTCCTCCATGGGAAACCAGTGTGCCATCCATGTGACCCAAGACTTTTGCTGCCTAATCCCAGTGACACAGGCCAACAACCTCTGTTACAAAACCTTTAGTTTATTACTTTTCAGTATCTTTGTTCTTTTAAATGTTGCCCAGTTCTTGAGCAGATGAACCTCAGTGTACTTTCATCCTCACGAGAGCAAAGAGATCACCAGTTACATCTCAGCTGTTGTCCAAAACATCTTGTGACAGCCCTTCATTTGATCCGTTCGAGGCCCCTTTGAACGCCGCTGTAGAACATGGCCCTGAAGGGCTTCACCCTCAGATGATAAAAAAGTGAATTATTGGTTTGTTTATCGTGATCTTAAAACCTAAAGTGCATTATTAAACAGAGAGCACATTAGAAGGAGAGTATTGTTAAAAGTGTTTTTAAAAACTTGTAGATCCCAGTAATTTATGTCACTGTGGTCACGGAGGCTCACCCTGGCCTTCTGGTTCTAATTTGGTTTAGGGTCTGCTCTGCGCGTCTCTACCTGTGATGCTGCCTTCTTTTCCCAGACCTAGTCTGACCGAGGTGACCTCCTCAGTGGAGGTTCGAACCTAGAGATGCTGCTGGGTGAGATTTGGGGCAACAAGATACAAAAGTGTTGATACACCTTGTGCGCCTCATGCACCTCTGGGGAAGGCACTAAAATGTCTTACTAAGGTGAAGAATAGTGAGTGAGAATGTGCTCCAAACATATCCTAATATGAAGAGACTCGTTACACAGCCTGGTAGCAATGCACAGATACACTAGTCCCTTTGAAAGTTTTTGGGCGACTCTTCTATCCAGTCACAGAAGGTCAAAGGTGGAGGTGGGTCAATCACTATGTGAATGTGTTTCTGGTCTCCTACTCCTGTCACACAGAGGCTTCAATCTAGTTTTAGCTTTAATGACTCCCAGGACAGCAAACTCTTGACTCCTGCATTAGCTGAAAAAAATGAGTAGGTAAAGGGTTGGCAATAGATCCCAAGACTTGGTAGTAGGTTCTGGGGGAAGTGTTCTTTTTCCCCTGACCTTAATCTGAACCTAACCTTCAGCCTAACACCTAACCAGGCATATCTTATTATACTTACCTTGACCCCAACTTCACTCTACCTCTAACCAGGTGTCTCTGCCTACTCCTTATTCTTAGAGTCTAATATATACAGTACCTGGCTGGAGCGTGGAACACTAGCTTGCTTCCTAAATCTTGCACATTTTAGCTCTTATTGTCTGTAAATGTGTCATAAGGGACATGGATGGGTAGTGTATACATCCAGCCCCAGCTGGAGTGTAGGACAAAAGCATTATACAAAACAAAAATAGAGACTGTGTCCACAGTGAAATTTGCAAGCTTCACAAAAATTGCTACAATCTAATTAATAAGGTCTTCATCAGGCATCCACCCACATGAACTGAAGCAGGCTGCATTTTAGACAAACAAGACTGTGGGTCCTCAGTCATTCTAAGCTCACTGAGGCTGTACCGAGGCACAGATGTACTTTGAGCTACTGTAAATGTTAGTCAGCATTGCTAACATATTCCCATGTTGATGCTAAAAGAGTGTAATGTTTTCCGTGTTCTGGATCCTTTTTATCAATGTAAAAGCTGAGGAAAACATTACCGATGTCACGGAGGAGTGAGAGGATTTCACTCTCCTTCAGCCCACAACAGTTTTCTGGTTTATTCAACACCTAAAAAAAAAGAATCGAATGAGGTTAATGAGGCAATGTTTAAAACGACAAGAAAATGTTTAGGGTCTTTATAATTGATCCCTTTGGTACCTTGCGCAGGTCTCCTCTTGAACAGTACTCCATGGTCAGCAGAGGTAGGTCATTTAAAGCAACGGAGTTCAACTCCTCTGGAACTTCTCTGGCCTGGACAACATTGACATGGTTCAACCTATGACAGGAGGAGAGCCAAACATGCAGGGATGGTTTAACAAGAGAAAATGTACATTGAAGTGTGCCTATAGGCTTCTTTGAGAGAACAAGCAGATGATTTAGACTCACTTCTTCATGATCTGGATCTCTCGGCTCCAGCGGTCTTTGTTCTTAGAGTTCAGCTCCATGCGGCAAATTTTCACGGCGATCTTCTCACCCGACTCCTGCTCCAAACACGGGCAGGGAATAAAAACAAGATAAAGACAAATCTGGGTGTGGAGTTCATGTTCTCTTTAGCAAACAGGTGGATGACAGAACGTACAAGGTGCTGGTACAGGTAGACGTGCCCAAAGCCTCCCATCCCAAGTCTCTCCTTCATTTCCCAGGAGCCACACTGTTTGAGTGCAGTGCGCTCCATGGTGTGAGGGCTGCTGGAGCTGCTTGTGCAACCGCGGTAGTCTGCAAAGGACCTCAGCTGAAACAACAAAACAAAAGAAAAATCTGTCACTGTCTCCAAACATTATGTACTACATTGGAGATCTTCATCAAGGTTTCTGTTCTGTGTCAAAAAAAAAGTGACGTTACTTATGCATTTACACACCTGTCGTCTATGCATCTGCAGGGGAAACTATTAACAGGTGGGTGTTTTTCACCACTTATTAATATTATATTGTTTTGTAATGTTTTCATCCCCATGGGAGAAAATCACAAATGTCAGTAACCAATTTCTCCCTCAACTTAAGCTAAAAGATCAGTCACACACTACATTAAATCCTAATATATTTCCTCTTGAAGTTATGGCAGCTTTTAGTGTTATATTACCATGCATGTTTCTTTGTAGTTTTGTCTTTATTTTTTTTAATATTCCAGTGGTGCACCTAGACCTTTTTTAATGTTTACATGCTGATTGTATCTTTTTACTGCTACAGTGACCTAAACCAGGATTAAGAGCATTTGATGTTATTGGACAGCCAATGTTAGGTCCACTGAAGTCAGAAGACTTACAGACAAGTTGACTATATGAACAAAAGACCTACTAAAAACATCTCACTTAACGAACATCATAAACTCACCTAGGTCGTTAGATGATAATTAGCCAACTTTAGATCTCAAATCATTGTTGCTGCACAGTGTTAGCTAACCGTGTTGTTTACGCTTCGTTGTCTTTAGCTTTTAAGACTGAACCGGCGAAATTATACCTTCAATCGATCAAACACGACTTTGATGGTAACATTTATATTTCTTTTGTGTTGCACGTTTGGGCGGAAAGCTGTAGAGAACAGGGCAGCTCCAAACCTGTGCAAAGTGAAAGTAGTTTGCTGTTACTGCGCATGCGTGCCCGTTTCAAGCGCAAAGAACTACTATATCTCTCTGTCTTGGGGATTCCCACCCGCCCCCACCAAACTAGTAGACAACCTATACGTCTATAGATTTAATATAAACACGAGGGATGAAAAAAGTTTACATTTTTGTCCTTTTAGCATAAAAGCAGTTAGGCCTGTTAGTAGCAACTAAGGAGTATTTTCCAAACTTTGGCAAAGTCTTCATTTGTCCACTAGATGGTGCTATATGTTTAAATTATGATTCGAGAGCCACAGTACACTAATCAGTAGTTGTCTGTGTGGCACACCAAAAAGAGACATGATGCAGTTTCTTCAGTTTCGCATGACAGTGGCTCAGGCATACTTGAGCAAGTGTGGCACTGCTGTTGAAGATGCACAAGAAGAGAATGCACACCCTTTGCAACAAGGAAGCAGACATCAGATCACCCCAGTACCGCATGTCTCAATCCGAACAACTTCTACAAAACATCTTCCAGAGATGGTCAACCTGAAAAACCCAATGCGTTGCAGACAAACAGGATGCTCAGGGAAATCACGTGTCCGATGTATGACATGCAACATGTTCCTGTGTTTGCAAACTGAACGTAACTGTTTTGCAGCTTTTCACAAAGGTCCATAGGTGTGATACTGTTTCTACAGACTACAAACAAATGAAATTTCTCTGCACAAAATGAATTGAGACAAAACATACTTTTGGAATATGTAGTCATGTAGTCATCAGTCTGCAATGTGTTGCAATTACTGTGCGCACAGTCATGTTCTGGCATAGATTTGTACTGTGATGTGTTGCAAATATTGTTAGCAAATTTTGTTTTTGCACAGCTATGTTCTGGCATAGATTTATTCTCTAATGTGATGCAAATATGTGCACAGCCATTTTCTGGAATAGTTTTGTACTGTGATGTGTTGCAAATATTGTTAGCAAATTTTGTTTTTGCACAGCTATGTTTATTCTGTAATGTGTTGCAAATATTGTGTGCACAGCCATGTTCTGGCATAGTTTTGTTCTGTCTCAAACACCAGTAATTTTATTGTATTACGCATTAAAATAAACCCAATGTCCCCATATGAGGACATCATTTTTCTCAAAAATGACTTCCTGTTCAAAGACCATACTTGGATTTTATACTTATCATGTCCCAATAATCCCAAATAGATAGGAAAAAATTAAAATGCATATGAAACCAAAGCTCAGGACTCTAGAGGTTAATATTTTCTATTTAGCACTAAACACAAAGCACAGCCAAGGCTGATGGTGGTGACAGAGATCACTTGGTTTCATGCTCTGGGCACCATGAATGACTGTATAAATGTTCGTGGCAAACTGTTGAATAGATGTTGAGATACTTTGGTCTGGAGCAGTGGGGTGGATCACACCAACAGAGCCCCAGAGCCGTGGTGCTACAGACAGCTAAGAAAGGTCCATGTTCATAAGAAACACATTATGTCCTAAAGAAAGGATCTATGTGACACTTTCACCGGTTTACATTTTCTTGCAACACACATTTATTTTGTATAATGTGATCATTTTACGTTTATTTAACCTTTTAGTTCACAGGCCACTTGCCTGATGTGGACCTTCTAGGTCTAAAAGTTGCACCAATGGGCAGCTTGAAAATTCTGTGTGTGGCCAATAGGGCTGAGTATCATTCCACACTTTCCGATACCAGTACCGATACTGATACCTTGACTTTGATACCAGTTCCTAAATGGATACTTCAATTCCATGGCATTTTTGTGCACTCAAAGCATTTTCACAATGTAAAAAGTAAACCTATTTACCAAGCATTTTTCGATACTCGACATTTGTCATACTCTGTGGTACTGAAGTAATTCGATCGATGCCATGAAAGTATCAAAGTCTGAAACCCTGCAAAAGTGGGCAACTTCTTTTTTCTTTTGAAAATGTGCGTCACCCACTACGAGTCATATTTTACAAATTTATGTTGGACCAAACTATAAATCCCTACCCACTTACAAATGTTAAAAAAAGTCTTTAAAAACAACTGCAGGATGTTAAACCCTGAGGAGTCACAGCACACGGCTGTGGGGCAACCTGCCCTGTTGCAGCCCAGGACCAGAAACCCACTCCAATCTCTGGGGACTCCCTGGCAGAGGCAACAATGGGTCAGAGCCCCTTCTTTGTGCGGCCACCCTCCTTAATCAAACAAGCCAGAGGAGTGATTGGATTTTAATACTGCTGGGCCCACCGTAATGGTGTGATGGACGGAGCCTGGTGAATTGGAGCAAGATGTCAGCCCTCGGAGGCCTCCATTAATGGTATTGCTTCATTTCTTAAAGTGGCAGAGACGCCCTGGGATGAGGGTGCTGCACCAGTCAGCAGACAGAGCCCTGCCCTTTGTTTTTTACCCTGTTTCTCTTTTTTTTTTTTTTATTTGCTCTCTGCATCTCTCTGTGTGTCCTAAGTGTTGTGGGCCATTTGTTGAACTGGTCTCAGTGTGTGTGTGTGCTGCACTGACACTGAGGATAAAATACTGTGGTTGCTGTGCCTGGATGAATTTGTTTACTTTGTTTTTCAACCAAAGCGTTCTACATTTAACCATCAAAAACAGACGTATACCATACTGTACACTGGCTATCCTCACCTTTGTGCAGCATGTTTCCGACAGCGCAACTACTGTGTATCATCTATCAACAATGAGAGCTTATCAGTATAAAGTGGAAGTGATTTTCCACGACCGTGTGAAAAGACGACTCCTGACTCACAGTGTTGTTGACTGGCAGCAGTCGTATTTCATAGGCAGTTGCATTTCAGTTTCTGTTCTCCATGCTATAATTAAAGTTTGGCTGTGCTCCATTCCAACTCTCAAGTCAGAAGGTTAATTGAACTTTAGCTCTAAATCTAAAACACAAAGACTTCCTGAAAACATTCTTGAACTCCTGCGCTGACACTGATATGACCCCGATGAACGCCAAGTGTTTCTCTGAAAGCTTTTGATGCCGTTCCTCATCTTAAGTGACTCACACTCGCTGCCACATTGTTTGCTTCCAGTGACACATGTTTGTCTTCCTCGTTCGGCTAATGACAGTTGAGTACAGGTGAACCCTCATTGTGTTTTATAGCAAGTCATTGTCGAGTGAGGCGGCTCCAGCCTTCCTCTCTCCTCCTAATGGGTGCTGCTGGGTAGATTTACGCGTGGGTGGGGCGCTGTGATTTACAGAGCTCTGACACTGTCTCAGCAGCAGGACCACAGTGGCTGACTGTGGCTTTCTGTGTGTGTTCCAGGTGAGCCTCAGGCCCTGCACATGCACACACATACACATATGAGA